TGTGAAGATATGAATACACCAACTTTAAAAAAACTATCCAGTATTTGATATATCAAGTCATTGGTTCAAACTTGTTGAGAATAATTAATTTATCTTTAAAAACAGATTTTGTAACGAAAACTTGGAAAAGATCCACTATAATAACTATATAAAAAATGACATCACCCAAACTACCACAAGACATAAGACCACTAAATATGTTAGGAGTGTATAAAAAGGTTCTTGAATTATATGTACATATGCAGTTGTCTACTTATTTTGAAGAAAATATGCAGTTTAATAGAAATTGATTTAGATTCCAAAAAAATCACTCAGCTGAAACAGCAGTTCAACTACTCATTTCAAAATGGAGGGCAGCAATTAATAAGGTTATGTTCATCATAACAGTTATATTAGACTCAAAGAAAACATTTAAAACAATCAATAGAAAAATATTCATTGAAAAATTAAAGTGCTACAAAGTAGGAGGAGTAGTACTTCAATGGATTATAAGCTACATAACAGGAAGTACATAAAGAGTAAGAATTGATGATCAATTATCAACTGAGTTATCCAGTGAGATAGGACAGTCCATATCCAGTGAGATAGGTGTACCCCAAGGATCAGTACTAGAGCCCCTGTTATTTATAATATACATGAATGATAATGGCAGTACTACCAAATATATAAACATTAATCTCTTTGCAGATGGCACATTAGTCTACATTGAAGGTAAAAATTATCAAGAATTGATGATAAAGCTAAATGATGAATTGAAAGTATTTAGTGCCTGATTTATTGAAAAAGGACTGAAACTAAATGTTAGTAAGTCAATGAGTATGTTCAATACAAGTTCCAAGGTAAAATATTTAAGTATTACTGAAAAAAATCCGAACAGATATGTCAAGCTTGAAAATGAAGTAGTTATATTCAGTAAATGTGTAAAATACCTGGGTATTAAAATTGACTACACTCTGAATTTTTTCTGAACATATTACCTATACTGCAGCTAAAATTGAAGAAAATGAATGTCTTTCAAGGATTTTTTATAAAAACAATGAAGTACCCCATTATTTTACAAATGCAAACAATTATCACTTAAAAATCTAGAATAAAAAAAGCGGAAAAAAATCTTTTGTAATCAAAATCAAATTGCCAAATGAAATTAAATCGCTTGACTGGAAAAAATTCGAAAATCAACGGTGTACTAACCCACTTTACACTATCAATCTTAAATTTTGATTATAGACTTAATTTCCTTGACATATGACAACGAGATTTTGAGCTCCTTTAGACATGAGACAGCACAAGAATTTGAACTCTAGTTCTGTCAAAGCGCGTAACGTTAAACAAAGCATGGGATTTTTTCTTAGCTTAACTTTGGACAGTAGAGTACAAAACGTAACAACTAAGCTGATAAATTTTAAAACACACTTTTCAAACAAGCGTGACAAGGAGCAAACGTGTCTGCTATAACAATTAAATCCTTTACATGGTTACCCACTGGCAAAAAAAAGTCCATATCCACTTGTTACAAGAATATGCGTTAAATAATTCTCTGAGGGTTTCTATAAGAATGAAATTTTATGTTTACATAACTGCAACCAAATATATAATTGATTCTTTTGAAGCCGGTCTTCTCATTATTGCTCTTTTTGACTGTTGCAACCTTTTCTGGTCCTTACATTTTTTTACATCAAACATTAAAATTTGTTTTATACAATCAGACTGACAAACATTTGTGATATGTTTGTAGATGTTCCTTATAAACTCTTTTCTGTTTGTTTTCATTAACGTTTATTGTAGAAGACTCATTGCATACTTTTTTAATAAAAACATTATGTTTTGGAAGAAATTGGAGGTTATTATTCTAATACATTTGTTTTGATGTCTACCAATGTCATTTGACTATCAGTTTGATCTTTGGTCAATTTTTTTTAAGTCTAAATCACTTTTTTCGATGAAACTTGAATTTCCGCTGTAAACCTCATTGTATTCTGTCTTATATTTGACATAGCTAATCTAAGTTGTTATATATATATATATATATATATATATATATATATATATATATATATATATATATATATATGTGTGTGTTTGTGTGTGTGTTTGTATATATATATATATATATATATATATATATATATATATATATATGTGTGTGTGTGTGTGTGTGTGTGTGTGTGTGTGTGTGTGTGTGTGTGTGTGTGTGTGTTTGTATATATATATATATATATATATATATATATATATATATATATATATATATATATATATATATATATATATATATATATATATATATATATATATATATATATATATATATATATATATATATATATATATATATATATAGATATATATATATATATATAGATATGGTATACATAGTTTATTGTTTCCGTTTTTTTATTTTTGTATAAGTTAGTTAAGATAAAAAATAGAGAAAACATTAAATTTAACAATTTGTTTATTTTGTTAGATAAATTGCAACCGAATACCAATCTTGCAACAGGTAATTTTTTTATTTCTTTATTAAGTATTTTATTGTACAGTTTATTTAAGAATGATTTTAAATAGGAGAGAGCAGGGTTGGTTGTCACACGTTTTACATTTTGCTTAGCTTTCATTTTTCATCAAATCAATGCCAAACTTTGCACGAAAGTAATTTAACTATTTCCGGTAACTATTGCAATACGTTTATGACAATGAGTGAAATTTTGCTTTAAAATCATTTATTGAAGACCTCTTCAGTGTGACAAACAACCTCACCCAAAATAGCATGTGGTTCGTTGACACATACTATGGGGCTGGTTGTCACATTTCTTGGTATGTTTTGATTATATTTAAAACTACTACTAATAAATTTTGCTTATATAATATAAAGAATAATTATAAATAATCTAAAAAAATAAATATGCTTTATACTGAAAAAAACGAAATACTATATACCAAAAAATATATATTTTTTTTTATAACACTATAGGCACATTTTGTTCAGGACTATATATAATATTTTAAAAATGGTGTTTTTATAAATTCTTGGATAAAGAATTCACATATAAATTGGTGTAAGCCTGATGTACATTCTTTAAAAACCCATTTTTGGTAAGCCTGAAATTGAATCCACTGTTCTCTTGATCTGCTGTTAGCTAATGATTCACAACAGCAGATGCATAGATACTCTTCTTTAGATGAATTTAAGACAATAAAGGTTGTTTTTTTGGCAATGTTTGACTTTATCAATTCTTTTTTACTTCCATCAATAAATGACTTACGATTCTTATTCATATTTTTTTAAATAGTTTTCTTCTTTTTATAATTAGCAAGCCATGTTTTGACAGGTGAGTTAGTAAGAATTATAGATGAACGCTTTTTCCTACCTCTTTTTGACGCAAACCTCGGACCTGCTTTAGACAGAGGCCTTATACTCCCAGGTACTATGATTAAATTTTTTAAAACTAAATTTTTTAAATTTCAAATATTTTGTGACAAGCAACCCATTTTATGTAAGTTGCAAGACTCTTGTAAATTTACCTAAAAGCGTATGATTTTCATAAAAAAATTTTGTCGATTAAGTTACTCAAATGAATAAAAAACTTTAAAGATGTACATTCAAAGCGCAATAAAATAATTTATAAAATAATTGGTAAAAGAAAATTTCCAAGTGAGCAAAATTTAACATATCAAAAACCTATTAAAACGAATAACTTTTTTTCTACACGCAAAAAAAAGCTGAAAATTGCAGTAAAAATGTTTTTTTTTATATAACATTTCCATTATATGATTTTTAAGTTCTAAACCTTATTTATATTTTGTCTAATAAACTTTGTGACAACCAACCCCGCGTGACAACCAACCCCACTCTCCCCTAATGATTTATGTTTTAAGTATGCAATTTATTTAAAAATACAATGCAAATTTAATTAGCGGTATGCTAAAGAAACTATTATTGAAAAAAAAAAATTATATTTAATATTTTTTAAAAAAAAACGAATCACCATCAATTCATAATAGACAAATATCATAAATCTTCTTTAGCTAATTTTTTTCAGAATATTAATCTTATGTCTAACTTAAACTATTACTGTCTATGTAACTATGAAAATACGTCATATATCATTATCTTAGCAGTCCGATACAAAATTTGCTTATAATTTTATTACAATTTCAAATAACTTTTAAACAGCCTCCCTAAATTAATTTTTGTTTTATTTTATTTTATTTTTTTTTTATTTAGATGCCCCAAGAAGACCTAACGGTCATGTTACGGGGCACCGCGGAAGTGCATTTAACCAGAAAGTTCACACCTCCTTCCTTACCGTGACGCGAAATATTTACAAAGCTCGTTTCAAACCTGGATCTCCTGCTTATAAAGCAAGCGCTCTAACCACTGCGCCACGGCCGCACAAAATTCCGTTTTCAATTAACACGGTGTAACAAATATATAAATTCACAAAAAAAAAAGTCTTTATTAAATATCAAAGAGGATTGGAAAATGGGAGAAGGAAAACCCTGACAGAAAAGGAGAGGGGGGGGGTAACATTCCCCCTATTGATCCGCCCTTACCTAAATATCTTATTAAATAAAAAATTTAAAAAGAATTTAGATAAAAGTTCATTAATAAATATCAGTTTTAAAAAATCTTTTACAAAGAATTTCTGCTAATTTTTTTTTAGTTGCAAATATCTTAAAATACGTAAAAAGCATCTCAAAAAAAAGCGATGCAAGAGTTTTGAAAAAAAGAATGTTGAGAAAATGATAAACAATTATGTTTATTTTTAGAAGAGTTTCGTAGAAGATTAAGAATTAATATAGCAACCGTGGTGCAGTGGAATAAGTTGGAACAAGTTGAATAAGTTGCAGTGGAATAACCCTGTTCTGGCTCAGAACCAAAAAGTTCTAAGTTTGACGCCGTCTCTAGCACAATAAGCACATGGAAGGAGGTGTAAATTTTCTAGTTATATGCTCTTCCGCGGTGCTCTGTGATTAGACCGTAAGGATTTAAAGAATTTAACAATCATGAAAAAAAAATAGTTAAAAATAAAAATAAAAAGAAGTTCTTATTGTTGGGTACCTCTCGAGTATTCATTGAGAACCTAAATGGTTAAATAATGTGTCGTTAATAATTATATATAGTCATAACTGGTTAAATAATAAACTGTCACAAGTAGTAAAATAATGAACGTAAAAACATTTTAGTTGATGATTTTCAAATGTTACATTTAGTTCGTTAGCAGCCCCGTACGGTGAAAATTTTTGAGAAGTAGGGGGTGGGTGGACCTTTTTGAAAAAAAAGAATAGCAAATAAAATTTGCAAATGAAATTTTGCTCAATTTTTATTATAAAACTTGCGTGAAACAAAAAGAATTTATTAATAAAGAGGTGTCGATCACACCCAACAACTCCCCCTCCATCAACGGTACAAACATATGTAGATAAAATTGTTGGTATTAAGTATGAGGTATTTTAGTTTATTTTTCAAGGTGGCAGGATTATTTAATACTTTAACTTCTACATTTCTGGTTATATATATATATATATATATATATATATATATATATATATATATATATATATATATATATATATATATATATATATATATATATATATATATACATATATATATATATATATATATATATATATATATATATATATATATATATATATATATATATATATGTATATATATATATATATATATATATATATATATATATATATATATATATATATATATATATATATATATATATATATATATATATATATAACTGCCTATTTTCATGGAAAAATTGTACAAAGTTTTGTTAAGCATTTGAGATAAGTATAACGATGTCGTCGTCGGTATTCAATGTCATAAAAAAGAGACTTACGAAATTAAAACGCTGACAATCACTGCTTCTTTTAAGCACAAAATATTTTAGACGATATTTTGTCTGACTTTTTTTCCCGTAAACTTTGGGAACTTAGAAAACTTTGGTTTTTGCGCAAATGCATTTTACATTCTACTGAAACAAATACGTTTCTGCGGCTTAACTTTGATGTTCGAAAAAAAAACAATATTGCTCTTTTCAACAATGAATGATGAACTTAAAAACATATCTACTTGGTTGTAACGTTGTAACTCTTAACACTAATAAAACCAAATGGATTCTTTTCCATTCGCTCTCTAAAAAATGCTATTTACCCCACATTTTGCCCAATATATTTATTGATAAAGTCGAAACAAAAAGAGATTTTGTTACTAAATTTTTAGGAGTGGTTCTCGACGAGAACATTAAATGAAAACCACATATAAACTATATCGCTCGACAAGTGAAAAGTGAAAAGTGAAAAATGTCTTATATAAATCCAGATCATACTTAAACAAAAAAGCCTTAAACCAACTTTATTACTCATTTATTCACACGTCTATTAATTATGCCAACATAGCTTGGGGAAGCACCGAAAAAAGTAAGCTAAAATGCAGTTATCACCGTCAGAAGCATGCAATCCGATTGATTAATTTTGCGGATCTTTTTACTTATTCCAAACCATTATTTATGGAGATGAAAACAATTAATATTTACAATGTTTATTATTCAATATTGCTCAATGTTTATAATATTTTATGCTTGATTTTGTGGAAAAACGATTTAACTTTACCTATCTTTAAAGACTTTTTTTCTCTTAACCCAATTAATAAATATTTACTTAGAAATTAAAATTTTGTATTTGAACCAATTTGCAGAACAAAATTTAACAAATTTTGCTTTACATTTCGAGCACCATATCAATGAAATTGTTATACCTAATTTTGATATATCCGATACATTTTTGATCTTTAAAAGTAAACTTAAAAAATTTATTTTATCGATTGATGATATTTTTAAATACTTTTTGTAACAACCACGTTTTTGTCTTTTTAATTGTAAGACTGTTATACTTTGTCTTTCCTATTAAAAAGTGATATCTTACTGTGTTTACAGTGGCGGTTTAACCAACGGTCACACTGGACACGTATCTGGACGCCACGGAGTTCAAGGGGCCAGAGGGACTAAGTGAGTTTTTGAAAGATATATAACTTGAAAGAAAAAATATTATCGGCCTCTATCCTTGACTTCCTCCCATGTGCTAAAGATTTTTAATCTTTGCAATAACAGCGCATACGACGTATCGCAAACGTATATACGACGCATAGCAAACTAGATGTTTTTTTTAACAACTTGAAAAAACTTTTGAGTTTGAATACAAAATGGAATACGTTTTGATGAGTCTTGAAATAATGTTTTTTTAAAAGTTTGTTTGTGTTTAATAGTTTATATAATTACTTGTATTTGTTAGTCAGGCGTATCCCATCATAAGACATTTGTGAAGCGTTAGTCGATGTTATTTTTATTTTCAATAACAATCTATAAATATTATTTATTTACGACTTTTGTTTTTCAGTTCGTTGATTAAACTGTTTGTTTTTTATATAACTTTTTATTTTAATTGCAAAACTTAAACTCAAGTTTATTATATTAT